ATATATTTACATAGTGATAATGAGGCAACTATGTCGAAGACATACAATAAAATATACAATGGAAAATCTAGACATATTAGTTTGCAACATGAGTAATTTATGTTCGGACAAATAATAACTTGGCTGATACATTCACTAAAGGACTCTCGAGAGGTTTTATAAGCAGCACTGCCAAGGGAATTGGTCTTAGACCAATTGATAATAGTCTAGCATAGTGGAAGCCCAACTTTATAATTTCTAATGACGTTATTAAAGTTAAATGGGTAACGGCAAGCTATTGTAACTTAACGGTGATCGAGTATTGGGGCATAAGTACTCATGGAAAGTTAGGAGGATGAGTGTAAGAAAACATTATTAGTAAAGTTCAAGGTTTAAGCAAGGCAATGCTAAGGTAACAAATTTAAGAACTTCACCTATACAAACATAAGAAGTGGTGCCGCTTCTAAAAAAAGTCGCATGAACTTTTGTAAATGTTCATGAATGCAGAGGGAGCACAAGGCCATAAAAGTTCTTAGGCTTAGGAAATTTCTAACCGAATGTGTATAAATCCATATGTGTGATAATTTGATTAACAAGTGGAATCATGATTTAAAGTTTTATCTACCATTAATTTTGTTAATAAAATTATTTATACTAATTGAAGGTTCAAATCTTAATAGGTATGTTCTTGTATGTATGAATTTATGTAAATTAGTGCAGATAACAAACTAAGTGGGAGATTGTTGAAATTATCATAAAAGAAATGACTCTTGGTTAAGAGCAGATGTAACTCTTGGTTTTGAAAAGTGGTGACTCTTGGTTCTAAAAAGAGGTTATCGATGGTTATGAAAGGAAGTTATTATTAACATGAAGAGTGATGATGGTAGGGAATAAAATCATATTCCCAAGAATAAATTAATTGGTTGTTTGTGAATAGAGACCAAATCACACGTTATTTAATATAACTACAACTGTTCATAACTACAATTTTTTCAGAACTCTGTCTTCTTCTCTTTTCATACACACAACTTTAACAACACATTTAAAGTGAAATTCAAAGAGAGAAATTAAGTAATTGCTAAACTCGTTTGTCTACAAAGAGTAAAGTCTTTCCAGAGAAAAGTTAATATTTGTCATTATTTATATGCAGTGAAAATTTCAGGGGTTCGAGTTAAGAAAAGTCAAAGTTCATCCACAAAAAGATTTAGATTAAGCAAAGAGTAAAGTCTATCCAAATAAACTCAAATAGTATATTCTAAAGCAAAATCTGCACCGAATTGTGTCGGCCGCATTTGAGATGGCGCACCTCAAAAGTCAAAAGTAGTGTAGTAGTTATAGCACTCTTTCTGCATCCAAATTTATACAAGTGACTTTATCCACCAACAATTAGAGTAGATAATTATAATTCTCAAATCAAGAGCAGATAAGGTTGCTTGTGTCGACTTCCCTTCCCTTCATATTGACTATGAATACACTATTTTTTCTTGTTCACACGCCACGACCATATGCATAACGATATTTTGTCGCATGCCAAAGAGGTTACCAGCCTTGGACTCAAAGCTCGAACAAATATCTCGCCACCCCGTGCGAAGGAGAACCTTTTAGGCACAACCAAGCAAATATTGCATAAAAGTGTATTGGACCAAGTCAATCAAACTAAGAATTTATGGGATCGACATTGGTCTCACCAAAAGATACAAGTCCCCATATAGTTTTTGAATTGTGTGATTGGTTTGCCTACCGCATCATCCATAGACTAATGTCCTGTTTCGTAACTCCAATAAGTGCTATAAATCAATGTCTTTGGCACTTAAAATTAAGAATATTTGATAACCATAAATAGTTTTGACTTCGTGATCCAATTAAGTCAAAAAAATCACTTAATTCACTAAGTAAGGACGGGTTACTTATTTCATTCGATAGAAAAGTGCACTCAAATAGGAAATAAAATCTTGCATATTACATTGCTTAAAGCCTAAAATCTACCAATAGTATACACTATTTAATATTCGCCAAAAAAGCATTCTTCCATTCCCATTTTTCAGGTATTATTACACAATTTTTATTTTTTATTTTGAACACTTCAAATGGTCAACACTTAAGTTTGAGGCCCGGTATGGGATTAAGGAACCAAATACAAAATTACTAATAGAATAAAAAATCAACAAATTAATAATCACTGTACCTCATTTATTCTGAAAACCCACTTTCATGCATGAGAAATGTGAAGTTGATAGATTTACAAAATTGGTTTATTAAGAAATGCGACAGATTTAAAATACCGCCCACTTGTTTAGAGAATCATTACAATTTGACCCACCATTTCCTAAGTCAATTTTAGTAATGTTGTTAGTCCTAAAATGGTGGAAGATTATTCAGAGAAGTTAGTTAATATTTTTTTTTAAAAATGACCAAGCTGTCATATTAAAATTCAAAGCACTTGTGAGATCGCATTTTTTCCTGCGTAGAGAGAGAGAGAAAAACTTTCTGGTGATGGTGGCGCCATGAGAGGCGGCCATCGGAGTTGGCGGTTGTAGGGGTAGTGGCGACCACCAGCGTTGGTCGCAATGGGCAGCAGGATAGGCGCCAGCAGTGGGTCAGTGGGCTACTCTATTTGGGTAAAGGGTAAAGGAAGAGAAAAGACAAAGGGAAAAGAGAGATGGTTTCAGGGTGTACTTTTGGACTTCATCAATTAGCATATGATACAAATCCAATGGAGAGTTTACCCAAAATTACTGATACTTCTAATGGTACAAGAATTCATCACATCCTTAATTTTATTACAAAACAATTTCTTAAACTATAAGTCTACGGTCGTTGAATCACTAACATTATTCAGGAAAATTATCAAAAAAGTCTTAAATCTATTGTAGTTGTTTCAATTCAATCCTAAATCTTTTTTTTTTGCCTATTCAGTTCTAAATCTTTTACATTTTTGTCAATTTAATCCATCCAGCCAATTCTAGCCAGCCAGCGTCGAAGTGGACTTTATTAATAATATTTTAATATTTATTTTTTTTCTTTTCTTTTCTTTTCTATATTTTTTCCCCTCCACTTAGGGCCAGGATGCCCTCACCAGATCTAGCCAGGCGAGGGCACCGCAGCCCTTGCTCAGTGCCAGCAAGGGCATCTTGGCCTTCGCCCATGGTTGACGACCCTCACCAGCCCTAAGTGGAGGGAAAAAAACTAAAGAAAAGAAAAGAAAAGAAAAGAAAAGAAAAGAAAATTATAAAAATTTCAAAATATTATTTAAAAATGTCAACGTCAGCATCAGCAGTGTTACGTCAGCGTCAGTCAGCCAAAATTAGACGGATGGACTGAATGGCACAAGTGCAAAAGGTTCAAGACTGATTGGCCAAAAAAAATATTTAGAACTAAATTGGCACAATTGCAATTGTTTTAGTTGTAATTCTCCCAACGTTATTCTATTTTGCTTTGTTTACCTTCACTGAACGTGCGAAAAATTAGAAGTCAAGTCAAAGAAAGCTTTTCTTTAGTTAAGAAATAGAGAGAGAGAGAGAGAGAGAGAGAGAGAGAGAGAGAGAGAGAGAGAGAGAGAGAGAGAGAGAGAGAGAGAGAGAGAGAGAGAGAGAGAGAGAGAGAGAGAGCCACCAATTAGGGATTGGTAGAAGAAGGCTATAGAAAGTTTGTAAAGAGAGCAAGAGAGGAGCAATTTTTTTACCATAAGATAACAAAAGCATGTTCACTTGCCTAGACTCAGATCCATTATAATCGGGTCATCGCGTGGACCTTACGTTGAGCTGCATATGAATTTGATATTTGTTCCATGTGTGAGTATCATGAAATTCAATAGCTTAAGCGCACCCGTCCTTATATATTCCCCGTGAAAAGATACAATTGCAGGGGAGTAACAATGAGGTGAGAGAGAATCAAAAGGAAAGATTAACAAATAGAGAGCATATGTCTACGAACACGATAAAAAAATGTCATAATCTGCACTACAATCGTATGAACTTGACATAATGTACGTAGAATGACTAAAGCTATAAAAGTCGTCCATTTTATATTGCAATATCTAAAGAGTCTTGGAGAATCTATTTTATTTTTTCCCACCGACACGACCATGTGACTTTACTTCTTTTGTCACTTTTCGCGAAAGGAGGAGCAACATCGGGCAAAAAGAGCCGGTACGTATAAATGCCTCGTGTGCACATGCATCTTCACGCCTCGAATTTCGAAGAAGAACAATCAACCAATAATAATCCTAAGCTCCGATACCAATTTATAACACAAATGTGGAACAAAACAGTTTGAGTAACAAATAAGTGCATGAATAATATTTGAACACGATGGACTTACGTGATTCGACTATATGCCTAATTTATGGGGAGAGATCGACGAGATGGACCTATTATCATTGTAAAAAATGATACTACAACCACTCATTGACATTCACTTATAAGGGTTTCCCAATCTTAAATTAAACTCGAACCCACAAGAAAAGAAAAAAAGTTTTCTCATACTCTCAACTCTCATAAATGACGATGACTCTTGATACTCTCTATGCCTCTCACCAATTTTATACATATTAGGCACGCTCACTGTGCAAACCAAACCAAACTCAACAACAATAATGATCACACGTTTGCACGCTTTTTTTGAAAGGCTTTGCTAGTATAATAGTCTCTGGACTATTGTGTAAGTAACATCATATTATGAGCCACAAATTCTAGACCCCACAACAGTTTCTAATTATTTTTTTTTTGTACAAAACAAGCTGTCAATTCATAATAGATTTAAGACTGCCACGTAAACATTTCTCTTTTTTTGAATTCCCATAATAATGGTCAACTTTTAAGTTGGGGTCGTCTTAAAGTTATCCATTTTGTTTCCTTTTTTAAAAAGAAAATATCGTGTTCACGATCTATTCCTATATTATATCTTCTCGCACTATATTGTGCCAACCTGTTTTCTTCATCTTGACTCTTCATCCTTGGAAAGAGTCTCACTCGGGGCACTATAAAATGCATGATATGAAACCGCTACATTGCGAACTCGTGCAACCAAAACTTGCTTTGTTATTTCTCTTCCTCAATCACTACGTCTAGCCTATCATTCCCTTCCCAATTCCCACGCCATGGCCTTAACCCTAACCAAGCTCCTTCTCTTCTCATTCCTTGTTTCTTCCACCGTACTCACCGCGAAATCCAAACTCCTAACCTCCAAGCGTGAGAAGCTCACTCGCTTCCTCGTCTACGTGCACGACCAAAATGCCGGGAGCAACGCCACCACTGTAAACGTAGCTCAGGCGTCGACGACCAATCAATCCGCCACGTCATTTGGTCTAGTAGGGATTTTCGACGATGCGTTGACTATGGGCCCTGAGATGAGCTCGAAGAACTTGGGTAGGCTCCAGGGCATGGTGGCATTTGCATCCCGAACGGAGGTGGCTGTGTTGATGTCCATGAACTTCGTGTTCACGAAGGGAAAGTACAACGGGAGCAGTTTGACCGTTGTGGGAAGGAACTTGTTGTTCTCGAAGGTGAGGGAAATGCCAATCGTGGGTGGAACTGGTCTATTCCGGTTGGCCCGTGGTTATGTTCAGACCAGCACTTACTTGTTCGACCCGAACACTGGACTCCTCGTTCTTGTGTATGATTTCTCTGTGTACCACTATTGATGGTTTCGCTAGGTTAAGCTTGGCAGTTGTCTTTGTTTGAATCAATAACAATAAAAACATAATTAAACTCTCAGGGAGAGAGCATGAAAAGGTTTCATGAGAAGTTTGGAAGAGTTTCTTATAATTCTGTCGACAGTGCATGATTGGAAACCGTTCCAGCTATCTTGTTACTGAGTGTTTTGTTGATAACAAGCGAGCTCTCCATTTATTGTCCAACGTAGGATGAGGTTACGTAATACCGTTATTTATAGCAGTGCAAGAAATGACATAAGAGTAATTGGAGCCCACCTGATTGCATTTCGTAAGTGATAAGACATTGCGCAACGATAGCACAACAAAACGGGACACACTAGAGCAAGTAGCAAATGAAGACCACACGCATAAAATTTGTGATCTACGAGATGAAATTTCATTCATCCGATCCATCATAAAGTGATGTTTATAACTGAAGTATTAAAAGTTGTGATTTGTTGAGAAACCATCTGAGGTAAGGAGAAGTGGATCTTTGTACATAATTTAAATTTGCGAAACTTTGCACCTGCACCGTCGCAAGAAATTCATCGTATCATGTACGTAGGGTCGCGAGCAAATGGGTCACATAGACCCCGTGATGTACGGACGTGTGTGATGATTTGATTGGTAAAGATTGAAATAGTACATTTATCATCATAATGTTCACCGGCATCGTGACCAACTTTATACACAGCTTATATACACTGGGAAACAATATCATCTTGACCATAACATTATATATATATATATATAGTTTAGTGCTGTGAGTATGTTCGTGTTGATCAACATGATTGATTAATTCTTTATTGTAAGTTGAATTTGTAATTAAAGCAAATACTCGCCAAATTATCAATGTTGTTCAATATTCTCTTTGCAATCCATGGCTAATGCATATCCAATGAGGAACTTTTACCTTGGAAAATCAGATAAACGAGTCATCCCGTTCTCAAATTATATTGTGTGACCTAGATGGCTTCGTCTCTTTCATCAAAATGAAAGAGCAGGCCGATGCGTTGAGTTTCTTCATCAGCCGAGTTGTCAAGCCGATATATCCAATCTGAACTTACAAAACATTGACATGGTTTTATTCATGTTTCATTCCAGAGTCTATCCAACACTACAAAAAAACAAGGATTTAGCCACGGAAATTAGCAACGAATAATTTTCCGTCGCTAATTAGCGACGGAATTTGCAACGAATTATTTTTTCGTCGCAAATTAGCGACGAATAAATTTTCGTTGCTAATTTCCGATGAAAAAAAAATTCATCGCAAATTTGCGACGAATTTTGCGACGGAAAAAAATCCATGGCTAATTTGCGACGGAATTTGCCACGAAAAAAATTCGTGGCTAATTTGCGACGGAATTAGCGACGAATTTTTTTTTCCGTTGCTAATTTGCGACAAAAAAAAAAGTCGTCGCTAATTTGCGACTGAATTTGCCACGAAAAAAAATTCGTCGCAAATTTGCGACGAAATTAGCGACGAATGTTTTTTCCATTGCTAATTTGTGACGGAAAAAAATGTCGTCGCTAATTTGCGACGGAATTTGCCACGAAAAAAAATTCGTCGCTAATTTGCGATGGAATTTGCCACGAAAAAAATTCGTCGCTAATTTGCAACGGAATTTGCGACGAAAAAGTATTCGTTGCTAATTTGCGACGGAGTTAGTGACTTATTTTTTTTCGTCACTAATTTTGCGACGTAATTTGCAACGAAAAATAAATTCGTCGCTAATATATGTATTGCGTGTCAAATATTTACTAATATATAAATGTAAATTGTTAATAGGATTTTTCAAACTTCAATGTATGAACGACCACCAAATGAGTTGGACCGTTTGTGCGATCAACAATTTGCAGCATGGTTCAAAACATATGTAAGTTGCCTATAGACCAAAATCAAGTTATTAATATTTTATACATCATTTAAATATATATTATTGACTTTGCGTGTGTGACCTTAGGTTCATAGTAATCGTGATCAAGTTGAAGAGCAAGGATTGCTATATTATCTGTCATGGGGTCCAAAGTCAAGAGTACGAATTTGGCCAGCATATTTCATAAACGGGTATAAATTTCACACTCAAGAATATGGAATGGGAAAAGCCACAATGAATAGTGGTGTGTGTGTTCGGTCATCCAATGATGGCAGTTCAAAAGATGATTTTTATGGTTTGTTGGATGAAATCATGGAGATAGAGTACCCCGGACCATTAATGCGGGTTGTGTTATTTAAGTGCATATGGTTCGACCCCGTCAAAGGAATGAAGGTGCATACGAAGTTTAATTTGGTTGAAATAAATCACAAGAAAAGGTATATGAAATATGAACCATTTGTATTGGCACAACAAGCAATTCAAGTATATTATGCATCATATCCTAGTTTGAAACGTGACAAAGCTAATTGGTTGGCTGTATGTAAAATTAAAGCACGAAGAAAAATCGAGGAACACTGGAAGGATACAACATATCAACAAGAGGAAGTTTGTAACACGGTTCAAACTGAGGAATATAACATTCCAACTCTACGAGATCCATGTGGAGCAATGATAGATGTAGATCTAACTGAAATTCGCGAATCAAATTTAGAATGTGTTGCAGAATCCGATTTTGAGACAGAGGATGATGATGATGATGACGACGACGACGACGACGACGACGATGCTCAAGAAGAAGATGAAGATCATGATGAAGACGAAGGTGAAGATGAAGATTTAGATTTTTTAGACTTTTTACTAATTATGTCGTAATTATTATTATTATTATTATTATGACAAGAGTTTATTGTTGTTGTCATATTTATTATTATTGTTGTTGTCGTAATTATTAGTATTATTGTTGTTGTTGCTGTTGTTGTTATTATTATTATTATTATTGTTGTTGTTGTTGTTGTTGTTGATTATTATTATTGCAATTATTGTTACTGAAACGTTATTGTCGGGAAAAAAAATGAATTAGGCGTGTGTGGGCTAGTAGAAATGAAATTCGTGGCAAATTTGCCACGGATTTCATAAAAAATGAATTGTGGGCATTTTATGAAATTCGTGGCTAAAATCCGTGGCAAATTTGCCACGGATTTTGCCACGAATTTCATAAAAAATGAACATAGGCATGTGTATGGGCACTTTTTTTTAAAATTCGTGGCAAATTTGCCACGGATTTTAGCCACGAATTTCATGAAAAAATTACTTAGACATGTTTGTGGGCATTTTTTTTAAATTCGTGGCTAAAATCCGTGGCAAATTTGCCACGGATTTTAGCCACGAATTTCATAAAAAATGAACGTAGGCATGTGTATGGGCATTTTTTAAAAATTCGTGGCTAAAATCCGTGGCAAATTTGCCACGGATTTTAGCCACGAATTTCATAAAAAATGAACGTAGGCATGTGTATGGGCATTTTTTTTAAAATTCGTGGCTAAAATCCGTGGCAAATTTGCCACGGATTTTAGCCACGAATTTCATAAAAAATGAACGTAGGCATGTGTATGGGCATTTTTTTAAAATTCGTGGCTAAAATCCGTGGCAAATTTGCCACGGATTTTAGCCACGAATTTCATGAAAAAATTACTTAGTCATGTTTGTGGGCATTTTTTTTAAAAATTCGTGGCTAAAATGTGGCAAATTTGCCACGGATTTTAGCCACGAATTTCATAAAAAAATTACTTAGACATGTTTGTGGGCATTTTCATGAAATTCGTGGCTAAAATCCGTGGCAAATTTGCCACGAATTTCATGAAAAAATTATTTAGACATGTTTGTGGGCATTTTTTTAAAAATTCGTGGCTAAAATCCGTGGCAAATTTGCTACGGATTTTAGCCACGAATTTCATGAAAAATTACTTAGACATGTTTGTGGGCATTTTTTTAAAAATTCGTGGCTAAAATCCGTGGCAAATTTGCCACGGATTTTAGCCACGAATTTTTAAAAAAAATGGCCATACACATGCCTACATTCATTTTTTATGAAATTCGTGGCTAAAATCCGTGGCAAATTTGCCACGGATTTTAGCCACGAATTTTTAAAAAAAATGCCCATACACATGCCTACATTCATTTTTTATGAAATTCGTGGCTAAAATCCGTGGCAAATTTGCCACGAATTTTAGCCACGAATTTTTAAAAAAAATGTCCATACACATGCCTACGTTCATTTTTTATGAAATTCGTGGCTAAAATCCGTGGCAAATTGGCCACGAATTTTTAAAAAAAATGCCCATACACATGCCTACGTCCATTTTTTTATGAAATTCGTGGCTAAAATCCGTGGCAAATTTGCCACGGATTTTAGCCACGAATTTCATGAAAAAATTAATTAGACATGTTTGTGGGCATTTTTATGAAATTCGTGGCTAAAATCCGTGGCAAATTTGCCACGGATTTTAGCCACGAATTTTAAAAAAATGAATTTTTGCCATTTTGATGAAATTTGGGGCTACATTTACGATTACGGCTCTCTCTTCTCTGTCTCTGTCTCTTTGTTTTTCGTTTTTCGTTTTCCCTCTCCTTCGTCTCCTTGGAGGGAAAAGCTTGCGACCCAAAACAATTCCCCCAAATCCCTCTTCCAATTCCCCCAAATCCCTCTCCTTCGTCTCGTTCGTTTTCAAATCTAGGCTAGGGCTTTTCCCGGCCTCGCTCCACGATTCCACCTCCCCCATTCCTCGCCCGCTTCCGGTGCCGGCGGAGCCGAAATCGCTCTGGTTTCCTTCGCTCGAGACGACCTCCTTCGGCCGCTGCTCCACCCCCCCTTCGTCGCCCGCTTCCGGTGCCGGCGGAGCCGAAATTGCTCCGATTTCCTTCATTCGGGACGACCTCCTCCGGTCGCTGCTCCACCTCCCCCATTCCTCGCCTGCTTCCGGTGCCGGCGGAGCCGAAATTGCTCCGGTTTCCTTCGCCCGGGAAGACCTCCTCCGGCCGCTGCTCCTTGCGGAGTCCGTCCTCGTTTCTTGCCTCTTCTTTCCCCTTGGTCTGGACCGCGATTCTGGGGCGAATTTCGAGCCAGCATCAGCTCAGGTTAGTTGGCTTGTACCTGCTGTCTGCGCATTTTCCCGCGTTGCGTTGGTCGTGATGGTTGGGATATGTGACCCGTCCGCAATTGGCTTCGACCTCGGTGATCATCGGTCGGCCTTGTTCTTCGTTTCTTGCTGTTTGAGCTCGATGTGGCGGTCGTGTCATCGAATTGGGGCTACTTTAGCTGGAAATGAGCAAGTCTGGAACATGTGCCACTTTCTTATTATCTTCATCCTTCTCTTCTAGCGTAAGATGCTCGGTTAATTCTTTTATATTCACAGAACTCCAGCAATTTCAGCTTGGTGAGGTGCTTGATTCCTGGTGGCATAGTCTTCAACTATTTGCATCGCTGGATGATCAATTTCTCCAGCTTAGACATCGCTTCCTCCTCTATCTGTACAAATGTCAGCTTCTCAAAATGATCAAGACCTAATATCTTGAGCTTTTGAAACCCTTTAGCCTTGAAGCATAGTGTTTGCCAATCATAAAGCTTTTGAACAGATTGTTGGTTCTGTCATCATCCGCATCTATGTAGTAAAGCTTTTGTACAGATTGAAGAGCTCCGATTTGCGCTGGGGTGCTGAAGCCATATTTGTAGTGCGTATAGGATAGTGACGAGTTTTTGGTCTAGGGATACTAAACATTTGTAGTCGAATGAAAATGTTTTGATAAAGCCTTTTAATAGCACTTCCATGCTTCACTGTTTGTTAATATTGTGGCAAGGATATTTTCCTGCTTATTTGGAGACCATTACTTGATCAATTCTGAGCTTAGCTTAGGGTTGTGGCAAGGAGTGTCATGTTCTACGGAGGTGGAATTTTGTAGGCTGACCTTGTTGAACAGATTCTGAGCTTAGCTTAGGGTTCATCCTTTGTCACTACAAGTTCATATGTACTACCAATTAAGCTATCAATTAGGGCCATATGAAAGATATCCTGTACCAATTGACACAAATGTTAGGTCAGTATGCCTTTTTCTTGCATAGAATTTTGTGTGAAAATTTTGACGAGGCTGCCATTGGGTAACTTTATATTATGCTGCATTCATTGTTTGCGAATCTTTTACAGCGGTGGAATGAACGGATTCCTCTGGCTAAGTGAGAGGAATGTACTGACCAATGTAATTCCTTCGCCTATCCATGGATTGGAGGATATTGTCAACAATCAAGTATAGTAAGTTTCTTATTTGCTTTTGTAATTCTTGGGCGACAAACTTGAATCATTCACAATCCCTGTTGCTTTACAGTAATGTTACTTATCTCAATCCTGCAAAGCACAAGCACATCCCAGACCACCTGCTAGTGTTGTCATTCCTCCAAAGGTACATGATGCTCTTACTGGTTCATATATGTTAATCTAAAAGCAAATATTTGTATTTTGTTCTCAATGTATACAATATAATTGGAAAAACGTTATGTGCATTATGTAGGGCTTTGTGTTTGATGTTACATGAGGCCTTTTCCCTTTCAACATTTCTATGAAATATCAATACGGTTGAAAAGCGCGGATTATTTCAAACAGGAGAACCTTTTTCAAATTACTGTTTAGGTCTCTTTATATTGGATGTCGTGACAAGAAAATGGATGGCTCACTTGTTCACTTTTATAGGTTTTAGGACCTTTGGATAACAAGCCATTCCCTGTGTTATGGCATGAAGATAACAGTGGTAGGCGCCAGAATGGAAGAGAAAGGTGAGAATGAATTCTAATGGTCTTGCTGTCTCGGTTGATGTCTCTGTCCGTTTGTTTTGTATTTCTGCTGTTGCATTGGTGGTTTGTATCAATTTAGAGGCTTGTGGTGCAATAGATTTTGCAGTTGAGAATGAACTTGAAACCAGGAACATTTGGAATAAAATTTTGGTTACTCCTGCAGGCTATTGAGTGTGTTTGTGGAATCTTTGGAGATCGTTTTCCCCTGTTGTTTCTGTTTAGAGACGCTTCTTTCTTTTCTCTCCCCATCTAAATGCAGTGCTTGTAATCTTGCAGGCCATCAGTACCTGGAGCAATGGTCGGTCCAATGCTGGGAGAAGCAGCTCATCGTCTTGTCAAGAGTACACTAAATATCAAGTTGAACAACAATCAATCCTCTGGCATCTTGGAACCACCACGCAATCGAAACTTTCTAGGATATTATGCAGTTAATAGACCAAGACCAGCTGCTCCCTCTGGGTACGAAAGGGGCTTCAGTGAAGATACCCACCTATACCATGGGAATCACAACTACACTATTATTTGATACCCACCTATATCAAGGAGTCGCCACTAATCGATTTGGGGTGGGTCGATTAGAAACCCAAATAGGGTGATGGGAGAATCACCCTATTCCTGCGAACCAGAGATTAACTGAATTCGGGGACTTGGTTACACTAGTTGGATAACTAATGCCCTTTCGGTACCTTTTTACCCTGTTCATTTCATGAAAACATTTGTCAGGCAATTTAGATTGATTTTAGGACATTTCTCCTAACATGTGAGGTGATCAAGCGAGTGCATAATCAGAAACGATCAGCAGTCAGGAACACAATAATTCATGTAGCCTAAGGTTCTAACCTTAATTAAGTCAGATGACATTCAAAACACAACTCATGCGATTGTATTAAAAACATGCACAATAATACAACGATAATAAAAATAGCATGCAAAATACTACCACACAACCTCAGGCTTGTCTAATTTATACAAGACAATAACATGCATAATAATACAACAATATATCACATAATCATAAAACTTTTTATAAAAAAAAAAAAATTTTGAATTTTTTTTTTCGAAAAAAGAAAAAAAAATAATAACACAGAAAAGAAAAAAAAAATTCTTTTTAAATTTTTTTTAAAATAAAATAAATAAAGAAAACAATATAATATAGTAACCGGGTCGGGTCGGCGGATCCGAGTCGGGCCGGATCCGACCCGAGTCAACGGATCCGATCCAAAACGTTGACCGGGTCGGATCTCCGGATCCGGGTCAGGTGATTGGATTCGGGTCCGATCGGAACCGACCCGGATCCACGAAACCGACCCGAATTGATTAATTCGGGTCGGATAATTGGATCCGGGTCGGGTCTGATTGACCCGAATGGATGAACCGGCCCTGAACCGGTTTTTGAACAGGACCGGACCGGTTCAGCCGGTGTCCAAGCCTCAAATACCGGAGGCCACTGACCGGACGAAAATCCGGCGATTCGCCGGATGTTTCGTCCGGCCAGTGGCATCATTCTCCTCAGCTCATCGAGCTGAGGAGTGTTTGATGCCCGGTCGCCGGAGAACCGACCTGAATAATTGCCGGCCAAGCCCCGATCGGAATTCGTCAAACCGAACGCCGATCGGAACTTGGCCGACGTACCCAGACCACGATTCGGGCTCCCTCTGGTCCCTGATGGTCTCCTCAACACTTACCTGAGTCGGTTGAGTCACCGTTCGGCCCCCTACTCTCCGACGAAGCTCAAACACAAACCGGGCTTTGTGAGACATTTTGACAAACGGTTGGCGGGCATGACAATAATAGAGGCATTTTGACCTCCTCCGGCGACTCGGTCGGCTCCGGCGACTGTGGCTCACTTCCGACGGCGAGTGGGGACCAGGACCGACATCGGTATGGGCCGGGATTCGCACGAAACGGCCGGCGCGAGTCCCGGCCCAACCACGCCGGAAAACAGGGGAAAACAGAGGCGGTTCTCGGCCGGGAGAGACTCACCGGTCGACGGCGCGTTCTGGGGGGTCTCCGGCTGCTCCGTGGGCGACGGTGACGCTGCTGGTTCTCCTTCTTGCTCTGGCGAGCTCTCGGTTTGCTCTCTCTCTCCCTGTTTTCTCTCGGTGCTCTTTTTCTCTCTCTCGGCCTCTCGCTCTGTTTTTTTTTAAACCGCCGGCCGACCTCTCTCCTCTCTTTCTCTGGTCTTTTATGGTCTCGGTACGAGCACGGCGGTCGCCGGAAGAGCTCTCAGTCTCTCTGTCTCGCTCAGTCTCTCTCTTTCTCTCTCGGCTTCTCTCTGCTCTGTTTCTTTCGTCAAACGGCCGACCAGGGGGTGCTTCCGGGGGTTGCCGGTCGGCTTGTTGGTGACGACGAGGCCGACTCAGACCTGCAAGACCCTCCGAGGCTCCTCTCTTTTCTCGGTTTCTCTTTGATTCTCTCAATCTCTCCCTGTATTTTTTTTTCTCTCCAAAACCGAACCTAGCCGACCCCCCCTCTCTCTCTCCTCTCGCTGGCCTGTATAGCCGACGACGACGCGTCTCTCTGCTTCGTTGCGTTCGCATGACGACGGCCTGCACCGATCTACCTGCTTCGCGACTTTCGCGGCCATTTGCAGACCGGTGCAGGGGGGGCCGAATCTGTGAGTGTCGAGAGGGAGGAGGAGGAGCGGAAAAACGGGGAGAGACGGCTGGGTTTCAAGGGAGGACGGGACTGGCAATTAATGCCAGTCCCGTCGGTGTGCTCGTTTGGCCCTGCATTGGCCGGATAGCGACGAGGTGAGGCCGCTCCGCCGATCGTCACTCTGCAGCCGCAACAGATGAGAATAGGGGAAGGAGAGCGACAGTCGGCAGGGGGAAGAGAAGGAGAAGGGGAGCTGGGCCGGGCCAGGCCCAGCTCGCGCGGGGAGAAGAAAAGGGGAAAAAAGAAAAGGGGCCCAGGCCCGCGGAGGGGAAAAAAGAAAAGGGAAAGGGCTCGGACCCGGGGGAAAAGGGAAAAGAAAAGGGCCGGGTCGGGCCGGCCCCGACCCGGCCCGACTTGAAATTTTTTTTTTTTTGAATTTTTTTTTAAAAAAAACATTCTAATAGACCTTATTAATATAAAATGTGCCTAATTTCTATATGCAATGCATTTAAATAGAAATAATTTTTTGCTTAGGAATTAAGGACATTAACTCCTAAATTTTGTGTAATTAATTTTTGGGCCAATTAAAATAGGCGTCAACAATGGGAAATTAGATCTGGAGATATATGGAGATTTAGGGAAGGTAATCTAATTCCTCATATACGAGTAACTAGCGCCGGCAATTTTCGACCTGACTTGCTTCTAGTGCTGCCCAACCCTCTTTCTGTAGCGACATCCCTAAGGGAGCCCTCTCTCTCCCCCTCTTCCTCTCCCTCTCTGTCTCCAAATTTCTCTATCTCCTCATTTTCAAGACTTACTTCGTTGATTTCGCGAACGACGCAGTCGACATCCTCCACGGAAGTAGAGAGTTTTGTCCTGTCAGTTCAGAAGTTCGAAAAATTAGCGTTTCGGAAGAATCTGCTCTTCCAGAACTTCTTGTTTCGGCTTCGGTTCTTGCTCCATATAGTCGAGTGCTCCGTAAGTTTCTGAGATGACTTCTCTGCTATTGCCTTCAACAGTTGACTAATCTAAAAGAGGTTTTGTGATCAAGTGGTATTTCTTTTGCAGGTCTTCTCTCCCGATCTAGAGCTGGATCTAGATTTGGGTGCTCTTCTATTCCGTCTGAATATAGATTTGGGATTTACCAGGCATTTTCTGTACTCTTTCAACCTATTGGTGATATTATTGTCTCTTTATGGTGATGGTACTGGGGCTGCCGAACCTAGGCGTTCACCGCCTTTTGGCAAAGCCGTAGCTACTGAAGAAGGAAATCTCGTCGTGTGTTTATCACTGATGATGATGATGTGAGATTCGGTGATCGGTCGCCGGTTATGCTTTGGTGCTATGATAGACCTGCTTTTGTGGAATGAGCAAGTCTTTATAGGCTGTACCAAATTGATTTATTTTTCAGATTTACTTATTTTGTGGAATTTGCATCTTTATGTTGATGTTATGTACCTCCTTTTTTTTATGTAAAATGAAAATTTTCCTTCCGATAAAAAAAAATCTAATTCCTCATGTTTTGAAGAACTTGGCATTCTGGATTGCAATTAAGGATACGTCGATGACTAAAATTGGTCTAATAGTTATTAGCTTCGTTAATTTGTTAGATATTAGTCAGCTTGATTCAGATTGTTGATGTCGGCCCAAAAGTTCGTTTGCAACCATTAGCAATCTAAATTCAAGCAATCAAGAAACATAATAAAAATAAATCTAGCGAGAAATTTAGGCTATGCACAAATATAGAGATGTATTGAGAGTTTGCTAGAGCGATTTATATAATGTGGTTCGGCCTCGATATACTACTCTCCCCACGTCCACCTTGAAAGAACTCGACTCTTAATTTTTTTACTCGAAACCTCAAATTCATTTTTCAAATTTTCAAGATCAATTTTAAAAGACTCTTTTCGTTCTTTTTTTCAAGAATTCAATTTTTTTCCTAAAAAAAGTTATTTTTTTCATTTGTCAAAGTATTGATTGCCTCTTATTTTTTTTTTCCTACTCTAACTCTTATCTCTTTCTCAAACTTTTGTTCTGTTTTTCTACGGAGCATGAGAATCGAACCCACACCGGAAACTAATCGTACCCAACCCACCACACCCCACTCCACTCCACTCCACTCCACTCCACCCTACCCAATTATTGGACCACTAGGCCTCGTGCATCACGTAAACATCATTGATTTCCAGATTTTGTTATTTTAGCATTTGCCGCACAACCCTTTTTTAAGATCTGCGCTTTTCCGGTCAAACACAATGTAAAAAGCCGTTCATAAGCGAACGTCAACATGTCGACGCATCTGCGGAATGAAACTTAACACGACCTACTACTGATCGTGCACTTTCTAGTTTTGAACAGGACATACACAACATCTCCACTGAAACTGAATTATTCACTTCCATGGACAGAAATAAAACTTCCTTTATTATCGCAGTGCTCGTTCTCGCACGTTCGTCATCAGTAATGTAATGCGTAAGCATCGTACTTCACAATCGCATTCCTGGTCATCGTGTCGAAAGTGAGAGTTCTCAGCTGAATATATCCGCGAGCGAACCAGAAAATGCCGTTCCCGCCAACCATTGTCAGCTCCCTCGGATTTTTCAGAATCGGGTTCTGCCCCAACACGGTCAACGTGCTCCCGTTGTACGTGCCTTACGTGAAAACCAAGTTCATAGTCATGGCGAGGCTGATCTCGCTTTGTGATGATGACGCATATATTGCCTGAGCTCTCCCGACGAGCGTGGAGTTCGGGTCTGGGCTCACGGTCAACGGGTCATCAGTGACTGCGACGGCACCGAAAAACGTAGCTGACGTATTTGTTGTTGCTGCTCGGGCGACGGACACGGCAGTAGGGTGTTGCCCGGTGACTGTGTCGCGGAGATAGAAGCGAAGATGGGTCATCTTCTCGGGTTTGAGCCCGTACTGATCTCGAGCAGATAGTTCTCGAGCGAACAAGGTCTCCGATTTAATCGCAGTGGGAAAGGCGAGGGAAAAGAAGAAGGCCAAGATGGTGAAGCTTGTGTTGCAGTGGGCCATTAGAGAGAGAGAGAGAGAGAGAGAGAGAGAGAGAGAGAGAGAGGCTAATAACGTTTATATATGGTTCAGTGAAGCTTAGCAAACCAAAAGAGAAAGATGTTAGTTGTACAATAGCCGTAGATGATAGTTTTTCTTTTGGTCAGATTGTAGATGATAGTTTTTTTTTTTGTCGAATAGTAGATGATAGTTTAAGTTGTTTTGTTACAGAATGATGGTGCTGAATTCTTGTGGGGTACTTTTTCTTTTGGTGGGAATTCTTGTGGGGTACTTCAACATGACACATTCATGAGAAATAATGCTGTATGTGCTATATATTATTCTTGCATTTTATGCATGTATGCTTTTATAAAACTAGCATTATTTTAAAGCAAAGTGTAGTGCACACCCATAAAATCAATGTTAACATGGACGATTGTTATATATAGTAGCTGCATAAATAATCTCTGAGATAATAAAAGATGCTTTCCAAAAGCAGACATGTGTTTTACTCACAAGTTAGTGAAATTATAGTTACCGATCATACATTAAGCAATGGTCGCCTGAGATCGACCGACCTCAAGCAAGGCTGCCAGTAGCCAGATTTGGTCTCGCTAGCGGTCTAAACCCTCGCCGGTGACATTGCATGTGTTGTAGCTAACAATATCACCTAGAAGGGGGATACGTGATTTTAAAACTACTTGAAATTTTAATGTGGAAGTAAGATGATCGAGTTGAATATTATCAAAATCGAGTGAAGTCAGAGTCTGAATATTAATAGTGATATGATGATATTCACAAAGAATGAAAGCCACAGTCTGAATATTAACAGAGGTGCGATGTGATTCACTAGTGTGCAAAAGTCTATGAAAAAAAGATAATCAACAAGAGTTTAAAGATAGAAGAAATTTCACACAGAATTTATAGTGGCTCGACTTATTGTAAGTCTACGTCCACTCTCTCACGCTAACAGCCTATTGGTTGGATTCCACTAAAAATCTTCTTGAAGTTACAGTAGTATTTGCCGTTTATACGCAAGCACTTCTCCTTGAAGTAGGTGTTGCTAATACCCAAGCTGATATGACTCACTATCTCACACCTAAGTACAAACTATAACACTGTTAACACTTTTCAAAAAATTTACAATTTAATGCTCATGGAAGACAAGTATGTAAGATCGAAGTTCTCTTACTCTTTGAAATTTTTTACTCTGGATCTTTCTATTCTCTTCGGCACCTTGATCTCATTTTATATTTCCCCACTTCCAATCTACTCGTTGGACAGTCTTCAATGATCACTCTCCAATCAACCCGTTGGACAAGATTACATAAAGAAGATTGAGTAGCGATGAGAGATAATATTTGAATCCCCATTGATTTGATCGCCCATACAAGCAAATCTCCAATTTCCATAAGTAGAGTTCTACGATTAAGGAAAGTAAATTGTCTATGAAGTGATTGCCAATCAATCTAAGATGTCTTGCGTAAATGATTTTGTTGCAATACAATCTTTAGGATCGAAAATCAATACTTTCTAAGTTGGAAATCCAGACCAAATCACTAGTTGTGATGGTTAAATTTTGCGTCTGAATGTATATTGCGTCTGAATATATTTCCATGCGTAGATTTTGTAATATGATGATATTCAGTTTTAGCGTAGAATCTGAAAAGATCAACTGCTTTGATGATATCTATGTATAAGCTTTAGCGAAATCCACACCGTTGCTCTGATGATATCTATGCAATAATCTTGATGATATCCATGAAGTACGCTACCGATATCCACGTTATAACTGGCTTTAGATAATATTCAAGTCCAGTTGTCTGGTAATATCCAAGTATATTGGTAGTTGTGAATCTACCTCGCTGTTCACCTATTCATGGTACTTCCAAGCTTTACTGAACTACTCGTTTTAGGCTTGTTGACCTTCTACTTCGGTACCTCCAGTTTGTAGACACTTATATGCACAATGCCTTATTCATCATTAATAGATAACTCATATGCATCTTTCGTCTGGTTACTCAACAACTAAATATGCTAGTAGCCTTTGATTATTTTGTCATCTTCAAAACATCATAAAGGGACTTTCCTAATAACACAAAACTCAAAGTACCTCCGGACCTACCTTAAGTTAGAGGCCAAAGCTCTCCAAAAAATTTGCCAAATGGTATTTACATTCACCCAAGAGATTTTGAAACCCAAAGCCCCTTGGGAATGTAGTTCTCAGCACAGCCATAGCGCCCCAAGTGTGACTGTATCCAAGGATCGAAAGTAAAGGTGAAGATAACAAGTACGCACATTTTTAATGCGAGAAGATATAACACATTGTAGTAGTTTCATTTTTTCCGTTTCCTTATATTTTTGTTTGCATGGAACATTTCAATTCCTTATATTTTCATCTCGATGTACTTCCAATTCCAAACGTTTCAATTCCATGACTTCAAATCGAGTGCACTTTACTTTCCATCAAAATTCGCACTCCATCTATGTCTCATTTGTGCACTTTGTGCTCAAGTGCCGAATCGTGAAATATAGGTCGCTCTCTAATTATTTGAGATCGAATCGCCTTGTCGCACATTGACTTCCGTCAACATCCATTTTGGCAACCCAGTATCAATTGTTTCTCATAATGTCATATATAATATACACAAGCAAATATAATATTCTTTCGCTTCGTCTCTCTAAAACTTTGCAATTTTAATTAAATGATCATTACTTAATAATCAAGCATATTTAATTAACAATATCATTGATGTTAGATGTCATTAAAATAACTCGGAATTATGTTGGCGTAGTTTTGAGAAATAGAAAAATAAAAGAAATTACAATCACAGGAAGAAAGAAAAGTCTAGCAATTGAAAAGAAAGAAAAAAGGAAAGTCTTTATGTTTGTATCGGTGTTATAATCTATATGGATTACCAAACGAGAGATAGAATCATTAAATATCATAACCCATCAGTTTCATCTCATAGACTGTCCTGACAACTAATCTGGATGGCCGAACCAAACATTTTTCTAGTAATGACTTTGTTAATGTCAAAATTTAATTTTTGTTGGCATTGCTATATTTTTCTTTTTGATAAGTAAAAGGCTCATCGGCACTAAGGACCCCCCTCTGTCACCATAAGGATTCTACATCCGCTACGGAATGTTCCACTTGAGCTGTATCTACACCGTATCACTCACGATCGGAGGATCCAAGGTTGGTGAGTCAGGCACAAGATATGCCGTAGCTACACAGTTTAAAACGAGCTATTTAGAGGTTCACTTATGATATGAATGGAGCTCGTGACCATAGGTAGGATAGGTGATCCAATTATCACAGGGCCAATCATTGTGGTGACCGACGAGTTCTAATTTTTGTTCACCTAACATACTACCAATTAATTGGAAAACCTCAGGTTCACGTAGAAGCTAATGCCCGCGTGATTGTTGCAGATCATGTCCCTATCTTATATCTACTAATTGCGTTTCGAGGTTTGATTAAGAAACTTTCCCCACTTGAATACAAATAATGAGAGTTTAAGTTTAAATTACACATGTCACCAAAAACAAGACCAGCCTGTACACAAATGTTACATATTGGAAAACCTCAGGGTCACGTAGAAGCTAATAGCACGTGATTGTTGCAGATCACGTCCCTATCTTATATCTAATAATTGCGTTTCGAGGTTTGATTAAGAAACTTTCCCCACTTCAACACAAATGTTACATACCCCCAAGAATGAAAGATGAATAATACCCTGTTAAACGTTTTGTAAGTTTAGATTAAACAGATCGGCTTGACAACTAGGCTGATAGAAATCTCCCAAGGCAAACCCCTTCATCCCCCAAAAACTCTACCATCTTTTGAAACTCTCTTGTAGGCTCTCAGCTTCAATTTCTGAAGCTGAGAGCCTACTTCACCTTTGATTTTTTTTTTGTGCTTTGACTATCTTTTCTTTTATCTCCCGCTCTGTTTTAGGGGATTATGTGTGTGAATAATCTCTACAACTGATATTGGGTGAGTGTTCTATCGGACAATAAATCTATTGTTAGATTCACTGCTGAGCTGAGTTTGAGCTCGTGGAGTTTGAAATGTCTCTTTGAGGAATGCAATGCACTACTAGCCCAATTAGAAGGTGTCTCTCTAGCCCATTGCCCACGGGAAGCTAACCAAGACGCAGACTGAATCACCAAGACCCACCGAAATGGGACTCTCCCCTCCAATTGGATGTCTAGGCCACCTCAACCTCTTTGGGATTTATTATGTATTGACTCTTATCAACTTTGCCCGTTTGGTATCGCTTTTGAATGGATGAAATGGTATTTGTGTTTGACAAAAAAAAATGTCGATCCTATAAATTCTTGAATTGTAATTGACTGGATCTAATATACTTTTACGCAATACTTGCTCGGGTGTGCCTAAAAAGCTTTCCCTCACACCGGGTTGGTGAGACATTTGTTAGGGCTTTGAGCCAGAGGCAGGTGACCTCTTCGGTATGCAACAAAACATGGTTATGCATATGGCCATGGTGTGTGAATAAGTAAAAGTAGAGCATACACTGCTAGTGTAAATAAAATTTAACACAAGCGACTTATCCACTCTTGGTTTGAGAATTATAACTATCCTTTCTCTAATCGATGGTATATAAAACCACTTTTATAAATTTGTATACTGCCAAAGTGTGCTTTAATTATGACGCTACTCGTAAATTTTGAGGTGGGCCATCTCAAATGCGGTCCATACTATTTGGTTGGGATTTTGCTTTAGAGTATGTAGTTTGGGTAAGTCTGGATAGACTTTCACTTTTCTTTGCTTAACTTAAATTTTGGGGTGGACGAACTTTGACTTTTCTTAATTCGAAATCCGTGAAACTCAAGTGTAATTTTTTCATAAATATTTTAACTGTGAAAGCAAAATTAAAATCTCAGTTTAGCTTTTGCTTTAAAGTGAAAACAAACCAGAATTTTACGATTCCGTCTCATATATCCGAGCAGTCATTGTGCAATCTGAGAAAAAACTTTCCAAATCGAGATATGAG